AACGCAATGAATGATTTAAGGAACACATTAGACTGTGAGCCATTATGAGTTTTATTGTAATTATTGGGTCCTTTTTTTTAATCACAAAGATGAAGGCCAGATCAAATCTGCTCAAATGGCAATTTTTTATGTTTCAAATCCAAAACAGATAGCTATAAAATGGCATCAGTTTTCTTTTAACCTTCATCTGCTTGGCTGAGGCACAGAAGTAAAAACATGCACATATCAATTTGGTCTCCAAATGGCAATAAATATTTGGACCACCCCCGACCGACTGTGCATTCCATGTGTAATAATTAAATGCGCGTGTGATTATACCGCAGTTACATGTAGGATGACTGAAAACTGACAAATTGCTTAAACAGAAATGCTAATGTGATTTAGCGTTTTCAACCTTCCTCTGTGAAAAGTGCACATACTGAAGTGCAGATACTGAAAGCTGTATGAAACTTGAGCCATCTAAGATTTCAATGTTTCCTGCTTTAGGTTACTTCTAATACCTTTTTACATTTTTCCTACAACCAGCAACCTTACTGTTTTTAAACAACACTAAATTATAGTGTCCTGTTGTCCGTTTTAATTCTTTGTGTTTCTTAAGAAACATTCATTTACTCTTTCTCCTTGCTTTTCAAAACCCAGTGTGTGCAAAAATTTTTGTTTCCTAATCCCTGATAATAAGTTAAGCTGTAGGTGTAAATCAGAGGGCAGTGTTTCAGCAAGCTTTTATTCTGAGACACATTTCCTGCATTTGTGTCTGTGCAACAGTTTTGGTTTGGCACTCACAGTCTCCAATAGTAGCTGTATGCATGTTGCCTGTAATTTTGGCTAACCGCTTATGTTTAAGTCTTTATGCAACAAGAAAAAAAAAACAGCTCCATCACAAGTGTCTTGGAATGCAAATTGTATTTGGGGGTGAATCCACATGGGTTTCTCTCTTTTAAACATGCTCCCTGTGTCTTCTGTGGATATGAAGTTAAATTCCAACTTTATTTTCCAATTTAAACTGTCATCTCAAATTTAGGTCATTCTTTCACATGCCCTCTGTGACTGTTTTAGTTTGACAATATTGATTCAACCACTCTGTGGGTTTTGCATACCCACAATACCGCCAACTTAATGTGAAGCATCAGGGAGGTCATACAATTTCCAGCAAGTGCTAGTCATCAGTCATGGTAAACCATATGCTCTTCAACAACAATACCGCAAAGCAGGAAATCTCTGGGGTAGACGGGATCAGCTGCTACTCATTTGAGCGCTATCTTGCTGTGTTTAGTGTTATAATCCTCACCTTGGAAGGATGTTCCGTTCGTGGAAAGTTCAGCACAGCCATACATATTTCTGCAGAGTCTTACAAAAATTGGTTGAAACCCTTGTCTGCATCCAGACGAAACACCTTAAGTAAGTCACTCGGTGAAGAAAGCTAAGGGAACTAGAGGCGCGTGCACCGAGGATTCAGGGTCACCTTATCCAGGTCTAACTATAAGCTTTCGCAAAAAGGAAGGTTTTAGGTCTAATCTTAAAAGTAAAGAGGGCGTCTTTCTCCCGAATTCAAACTGGGAGATGGTTCCACAGAACAATGAAGGCTCTACCTCCCATTCTAATTTTAAAGAATCTAGGAACCCAAAGTAAACCACCAGTTTGAGCCTGAAGTGCTCTTCTAGGGTAACGTGGTACTATGAGGTCTTTTAGATAAGATGGGGATTCAAGACCCATCTTAGACTTGATTCTTAAACTTGATTCTGAATTTAACCAGAGCGCTCCAGGAATATCCATGCAAAAAAAAAACTGGGAGAAGCCCCTGAAAGGTCCTTAAATCTATAAAAGAACCTCCCTGCTGTGAGATGATAGTGCTAACCACTGCACCACAGCGGCACTGCTCATTTTACATGAGTTCATCAGATTCATTTCAATAGGCTTACATATCCCTATCCATCTTAATACCACCTGTTTATTGTTTTTTCCACTCCCTACCTTAGGAGCTCCACAGGATAATGAGCGTGGAAATCCCCAGATTTAGCACACACAAAATATTTTCTAATAAAACATAAGAGGGCAAGAAAAACAGTGTTAGCTGGAATGCTTCTTTAATGTATTACGGCTAGAATGTGTTGCAAAGTGATTCCCTCTGCCAAAAGCACAGCTATAATAAACACTTTTGGCAGGCTGAAAGTGAACATAAGAATACACGTGTTATAATATGTAACTATATGCATGATTTCTTGAGTCAAAGCGAGGAGAAAATAGTATTATTTACAATTGCTACAACAATTTGGAAAATAACAGAAATCTCCTATTGGGAAAACGGGGTAGGTTCAGGGTGGATTTTTAGAATGGTATTGGTAATAGACTGTTATGTTTCATGAGTAAAATTAGAAAAGTTTAATTAAATATGGCCTGCTATTAGGTTTCACGCTCTAAAGCTTCAGTTTAATATCCATGATCAGCTATGCCAAACCAAGGTATCCAAGGAGATTTTGTAACATGCTTATTCTGTTTTCTTGGTACATAATCAGCATCATATGAAGCCAGAGTGCACATCAAATTCATCCACCCAGATTGCAGAGATCATTCACAGAAAACCCAAAATGATACCTTGAAATCATGGGTACATTATGTGACTCCTAAACCGCACATTCAGTTTTCTGATAGCTTTCTGTCTCCATAACACTGGTCAGGAAAAAGAAAACAGAATATGGTCTTAATTAATCTGGAATTCTTACTGTTTCCCAGCTTGGGGATTGTGCCAGAGAACTGGGGTATGGCACAAAATCTTAGCCTTGGGGAATTTGGGAAGGAACCAGAGGGCACTCAAGAGTCAGACAGATTTAAGTTTGCTTGGATGCTTCAGTAGGAAAGTTCTAATCCAGAATACTTAATGCAGACTATCCAGAGAATTAGAAGGTAAACATTGTATACTTTGGATCATTACACCAATGTATCTAAGTAAGTTTTTCAGTAGTGTTCATATAAATGTGGATGGATTTTCTAGGTTTAATGACACCAATTCCAGGAAGAACTTTTAAATCAAGTCTAATCATAATCTACACTTTATCTTATAGTTTATTTTTAGACAGCTATTTCTGCAAATAGGAAAAAAGCACTTCCATATTTGAAAAATTAGCATTTCTTCCCGCTCCTTTTTGATATGTAATCAGAACAGGTGGAGTGATACTGGAGTGTGTTTTGCTTTATTTTGTATTTCTTTTTTTCCCCTCTTTTTCCTAAACATCATTGATACACACCGTAATGTTTAAGAAACTATGAAGATATTAGCAGGTTTGCTCATGAATGATCGCAGCCTCAAGATGGAAAGCCAGCTGAAAGGAAATTGGAGTTGGAGGCTCAGCGAGATATGTTTGTTTTTATTCACTTGAGCAAACTCATTCACAAACCCTTTGTGGTCTGCGGGGTTGATTTGGTTGGTTTTGCAATTTTTCAGCATCCAACATCTTAACTGACTATTTCTGTATGTGATGTACATCAGTAATGGCACCCCCCACCCCGACCCCCCACCCCCCCGGGCTGCTTTCATGATTTATGCTGTCGCTTGAATTTTCAGTGTTAGTTCCATGTGTCTATGACTACTTCATAGCTTAGAAATGTAACTTATTCCTCCCTCATTGTTTAGAGCTGGGCTGGAACTGGCTCTCACTGAAATACGACTGATATTTTCGATTTGGTTGTAAATCAGTCACTAAATGCTTGATATGTTTGTCTTACATTCATCACCAGAGAAGTTGTGATGATTAATTGGATCAGTCAACAACATTCCTGTGTACCAATAAAAACCTTTGTTGCTTTGGCTGTCTCTTCCAAGTCTCTTCATTTTGGCTTGTGTTCTTGATAGGTGGTGGCCATGTAACTGATCCAGTTTTGTATGGTGTCCCAGGTCGTTTGCAAACTGCTAAGTTTACTTTATTTGCACGCCAAACACCAGCAACTCTAGCATAAACATTTTATCTGGTCTGGAAGTTGAGAGGAAATTGTTAAATTCAAAGGCAAATCTTTTTACTGTAACTCCTTTTTTGCAAAGATGCACAGAAGGAAAGCTGTGTAAAAAAAATTGCAACCTACACAGGTCTCCAGTCTATCGCAGTGTAAACACTGAAAGACAGACAATCCTTCACGCTCACATCTACGGGCAATTTAGAATTGTCAGTCAACTTAACATGTGTGTCTTTGGACTGTGGGAGGAAGTCAGAAACAACTTAGAACATAGGAACTCAATCCTTGGGTGGCAGGTGGATTTGAGCCCATGATCTTCTAGTTGTGAGGTGACAATGCTAACCACACACACGTTATATACACTAAAATGAAATCATAAATAGGCTTGAATAAATTAAAACACTGACTTTAATGATATTTATATATATATAAAAAAATGTTTACAGCTGACTTAGTAACAAGCTCTACCCATAAAATTAAAAGGCCAAGGGGGAAATACACTTCCTGTATGGCAGCAACAACAAGATGGCCTAGAAGTGGGTTTGTTTAAATCAGCTGTACTATAAACTTGAAAATAGCAAAAAAGTTATAAGTGGTTCTGGGCAGCACACCAAGAAAGCTCCTGGCTTCAATCTCCTAGTTGGGGTGGGGCCTCTGTGTGTTGAGTTCATACCCTCAACTTATGGATAATATGCGCCAGTCAGTGGCAACAGGATAGCACTGATTAGTGCAGCTGAAGTACTTATTTCACTATCAAGACCACGTTTGTCTCTTTTATCCATCACTGAGCAATACATTTTTATGGGTTATAAGAGCATTACTATTCAAGAGCATTAATATTCATTCATTGATTTTTTTCATAAAGGTGTCCAGTAAAAATGAACAAAAGCATTAATTAAATAAGTATGAATAGGCATATATGTAAATACATACACTGCTGCTGCATCTGACAGAGGGTGGGTGCTAGGAGAAGTGTGGGCGTGTACCCTCCGAAGTCCCGCATGTCTTAGAAGGCAAAGCGACTTCAAGGGTTTGTTCCTCGCCTCACTCCAAAGACCGCACTTGTTTTGCGACTGCGGCAGTCTGAAGCTTGGATTAGAATAAATACATGTTCCCTTCACCTCAGTGTAAAAATTGCAGGTACAGGATTTACGGGATGAAGTCATTAGAATGAAAGACGACGACACGTGTTTTTTCATCTGCGGACCACATGAACTGCACACGGACACGCGCCAAAGTTAATGGATCGATGATGGTTGGAGATTAATTTGCTTCCTCATCAGGCGTTTGCTTTATTTTGTGGAATATATTGAGACATGGCAAAGATGCTGTCCATCCTCACAAGAGTCGTGCTTTTCAAGATACTGGCAGTTATTGTCTTGCAAGGTAGGCAATAAGATATATTTATTTTTTAAGGTTGTTTATGAATCCACTCAGTACCTTTTTTATTTATGAAGAACTTCTGATTTAGCTGTTTACTATTATTTTTTTATTGTTTTGTTTTTTTTAAACGTAGCTGCTTCTAATAACGGTATCTTGGCGTCCCGCGCCTTGGTCCAATTGGACTCAAAGGTGTTTGGCTCCCGGGGATCCGCTGGCTCACAGCTGTCTGAGACAACAGAAGCAAAGTCCAGACAAAAGCGCTGCACCTGTTATTCCTACAAGGATAAAGAGTGCGTCTACTACTGCCACTTGGATATCATCTGGATCAACACCCCTGAGTAAGGCAAGCTTTATTAAGTTCAAGCCGCTTTTGTGCAAGAATCCCAGAGGTTGCACAACGTCTCCTCGTTTGTCAGGAGTGATAAGAAGTAGCAATTTAGAGTCTTTCAAACGAAGATTGGCACGTGGCTGGTTTTGCAACTGAAATAGGAGCCGTGCACTAGAGGCACATTGCAGTTACACCCAGTTACCCACCCCGAGGCACCAGATTCAAGTGATGGCAGGCCCAACAGATTGCCAGTGTTCCTGCAAGAGTTTGGAATCAGGCAGGTGGAGGATATTATTTACCAAAGTTAGTGCATTTATTGTGTTTGCCATGAGTCATAGCCTAAGTCTGTCTATTGATAAAATGCAATGACAGATTTCTTCATTGCGCTGGCTGACAGATATATTTAGGATTGGGTAGTAACAGGTTATGTGGGAACAATTAAGTATTGTTACATCTTTAATGATTATTTGATTCTATGTTAATTAGATTATGTATTTAGCTTTATCTAGCTATAGCCTTTACCATTGCTATTAACTGGTGAAAAACACTTGATAAGGGGTGTTTCTTAGACAAGTTGTCAAAGTTATGGCAGGAGAAAAAAAGGAGTCGAGTTGATGTTCGCTGTCAGCAGCAAACATCTCAACTACAAATACAAAAAGGGGCAGTCTAAGATGCTATAAGTCTACCAAGGATTTGGTTTAGTTTCAGATTTTTTTTTGTTGAAAAATTTTGACGTAAAGACATGGCATAAAGCAGACCTTCCCAAAGTGTGGGGTCCGCCCCCTAGGGGGGGCGCAGAGCCATTGCGGGGAGGGGGGGGGCGCGGCATGAAAAGGGAAAAAACAAAACAACGCTTGGACACTGCTAGCGCCCACCCAAACGCAAAGCAGGAGATGAAGCATCGCTGAATATGTTTCCAAACCAACTTCATTCTAAGCCAAAGACTAGAAAATATGGTGAAACATATCTTCCCTTTGGCTTCACCTGCACAAGTGCGGCGTTAGGTCTCCCTTGCAGAATTGGTTTTCCCTGCCTCGAGAGCGCGCTGGGCTCTTCAAATCACGGACAAACAGTATCCCACATTCATTTTTAGTTCACAAACACTTGTTGTAATAAATAACTACTCCTGACATTTTGGAGATATTAGCTCTTTATACAGTAAAGTTACAGTGGGATACGAATAATATCAGGCTGGTCCTGCCACGATTTGTTCCCTCGGTTCAAATCACGAACAAACAGTATCCCAGGGTTGTTCATGTTTTTAAACCCATTTTGCACAGAGAGGCATTTTTTGAAAAATGTATTGATAGCAGTGTTGAATATTACACAGGAAAAAAAACAACTACATGTAAAATAATTACACCGTGATGCCTCTGCCTTTCTAAATGGAGGGATAATTGCATGTGCAAATGTAAGCGTGTAAAACCTGAAGATAGAGACAAAATACTGTTAATTTGACTATCTGCCATTCTGCAATTCATCTCCTGTAAACAATAACGTGGCGCACAGCATGACGTGGGAAAAAGCACATGCCTTTAACCTTGCGTGATGAACTCTGTATTCCTCTTCCACACATAAACCCCAAAAAGGAGTTTTAAAACATCTCCGTTTTCGGTGATTCCAAACGCCGTTTACGTGTGGACGAAACAGCTGCGTTTTCAAATCACCCGTGTAAGTGCGGACACAGTGTAAAAGAGTTAGTAGTTTATTTTCTTACTACCTGCAGATTACTTGTATTTGCTTAATTGTTTACTAAATGTTTGAGGTGTGAAATAAACCGCAATGGAGCCAAATATGGGTGAGTGTGGTTGGAGGATGTGTTTGTGCGAAGTATGCGTGCGAGCGCGCGCGAGGGGGGGGGGAATATTTTTCTTGTAAAACAAAGGAGGGCCCAGCAAAAAAAAGTTTGGGAACCACTGGTGTAAGGTGTCTGATCTCACAACAGTATCAAATTCTGCACATCAAATTCAGATTTCCTTTTAAGTTAGGCCAAGCACCACATTTAGTAAGATTTTCATAACTTTTTATAACTTTTAAATAATCCTGCTCAGGAACGGACAAACAGTCAAACCAATCTAGTCACAAATCATCTTTGGCTGAAGTCTTACAGATAAATATTCTTCTCAGTTAGTTAGCTGGCTTTTTATTTCCAGCTATAGGACTCATCATCTAACTTTTGGCTGCCACTTGCAGTTTGAGTTCAGCTAAAGATCTGTAAAGTAAGGTAAAAGCAGACGCCCAAACACCTGTCAAAGTTCTAAAACCTTTTTGTTATGTCAGTTTCTCCTATAGTGGGTGTGTCCTTACACACATATTTACATGGACACGCACACACACAAAGGTGAAAACAATACCAGTAACTCTATTGCAGCAAGTATTAGGTGCATTATGTGCGTGTTGAAAACTTGTTCTTACATGGTTGGAGCACTGCACTGAAACAGAAGACTCCCAAAAGGATTCAATGCTTTTGAAACAAAAACATAGCAAACCCTTAGTTAGAGGAGAAATCCCAAATGTTCCATCCTTTTGTTCTTGCTTACAAGACTAACTTTGAAGTATTTGTGTGTACATACAGTACGACATCTCCTCTACAGCAAGTTTGATCAAAAAGATCCTACACATTGTAAGAGTGTTTAAAGTGAAGCTTTCCTCAAATCCCTTCTTTCACTTTGGAATAACTGCCCTCAGCTGACAACAGCATTTCACTACATTGAGCGTGATCTCTGACTCACAGCCCCGATTTTAGATTGAACAGGTATTAGGTTCAAATGCATTTCACCCTGAAGTTAATTACACAGGCTGAAGTGCCAGTGGAAAAAGACACAGTAAAGGCAGCCCAGCAAGATGCCAGCAACACTGTAGGTACTCAGTCAGTTTTAAGCAGCAGGTAGTCTGACATAATCTGCCAAATCTACAAAAGAAAGGCTTTTAATCTGTCAATTCAATGAATCTTT